TTTTTAAAAATAGCATTTGCTATAGTATCAAAAAATGTGAACTACTTAGGTATAAATTTGACCAAAGGGTTATAAAAAAAACCTGTACACAATAAACTACAAAGTAATGTCTAGAGAAATTAAAGACCTAAATAAATGGATAGATCTATCATTCTTATGGATTAAATGTCTCAATATTGTCAACTCTCCCCCAAATTAATACATACACTCAATGCAATCCCAATGAAAATGCTATCAAGCATTCTCATACAAATTGGCAAACTGACTCTAAAATTTATATGGAAAAGCAAAAGACCTAAAATGGTGAAAATAATTTTGAAAAAGAACCAAGTTGGAATATTGACGCTATCTCATTTCAAGACTTATTATGAAGCTACAGTACTTAAATATAGGCATATTTACCAGTCTAGAAATTAACCCATAGATAAGGCCAATTGAGTTTTGAAAAAAAGCCAAGGTAATTCAATCATGAAAAAATAATCTTTCCAACAAATGGTGCCAATACTATTGGATATCCATATAAACAAACCTCAACTCTGACACCATGCTGCATTACAAAAATTAACTGTAAGTTGACTATAGACCTACGTGTCTTGCTGGACAAAATTTCTAGAATAAAATAGAAGCATATCTTACTGACCCTGGGTTACACAAAGATTTTTAAACAGGACACAAAAAACACAAATGATTAAAGAAAAAAATGATGAGCTGGACTTCATCAAAATTAAAAACTATACACTTCAAAAGATACCATTAAGAAAATGGAAAAACAAAGTGCCTGGGTGGTTAAGTTGGTTAAGCATCTGCCTTCAGCTCAGGTCATGATCCCAGGGTCCTGGGATCGAGTCCCATGTCAGGCTCCCTGCTCAGAGGGAGCCTACTTCTCCCTCTCCCTCTGCCGTTCCCCCTGCTTGTGCTCTCTCTCTCAAATAAATAAATGAAATCTAAAAAAGAAAAAGAAAAGAAAATGGAAAAACAACCCCAAAACTGGAAGAAAACATTTGTTGTATAAAGGATTCTTACAACTCAAGATTAACAACTCAATTTTTTTAAATGAGCAAAGATTTGAAGACACATATCCCCAGAGAAGACATTGATGGCAAATAAGTCATTAAAAGATACTCAAAATCATTAGTTACTAGAGAAACACAAATTAACTCACAGTATGCTCCCACCATAATGGCAAAAACTAAAAGACTGACCACACCAACTGTTAATGAATGGAAATCTCATACAATGCTGGTGGGAAGGTAAGAGAACAACTCTGGGAAACAGTTTGGTAATTTCTCAAAATGTGAAACATACACCTACTATATGACCTAGCCATTTCACTCATAGGTATTTACAGAAGAGGTATGAAAACCTAGGTCCATACAAAGACTTGTACGTAAGTGTCATAGCAGCTTTATTTGTAACAGCCAGAAACTGGAAACAACTCAAATGTCCATCAACAGGTGAATGGCTAAGGACATTTTGGTATGTGCAAACCACAACAATAAAGAGAAACTACTGATACACACAGTGTTGTGGATGAATGTCAACATTATCATGTGGAGTGAGAGAAGCCAGGCACAAAAGAGAATCATTACATGATTCCATTTATACAGAATTCTAGAAAACTGACTTAGCTTCTTTGTCAAAAGTGACAAAAAGCAGATGTATGGTTGCCTAAGGAAGGGGTCAGAGGGATGGATTAAAAAAGGACATGAGGAAACTCTTAAGGAGGACAGAAAGGTTTGTTATCTTGATTGTGGTGATGATTTCACAGTTATATGTCACAATTAATCAACCATACACTTTAAATATGTGCAGCGTATTGTAATCAATTATACCTCAAAGCTAATTTTTTAAAAGTTTATCCCAATTCTGTGAAGTTGTATCTGTGATGATTCCACGTTGTATCTCCTATGATAGCCTTTTTGAGAACAGGATCATTCATCAGTAAATGTTCTTTAACTGACTAAATTAATTAATTCAATATTGAAAGACTTTCCCCTACATAAATAAAGTATGCAACACAGAGTACAGGCCTACTCAGATTCAATAGGTGTGGTGGACAGACTGCAGATGGCCCCCAGGATTCCTACCTCCTGGTATTCATGCCCTTATGCATGGTATCCATCACTAGCTTCTAAGCCATGACATACAGCAAAGGTGAGAGAATGTATGTGATTATGTATACATGATCACATACACACCCGTTGTAGCACTTTCACTCCCTTGCTGGCTTTGAGGAAGCAGGCAGCCAGGCTGGCAAAGCCAATATACCAAGGAACTATGAGTGGCCTCTAAAGGCCAAGGGCAGCCTCCAGCCTCCAGCCAGCAAGAAACTGAAGCCCTCAATCCTACAGCCTCAAGAAACTGAATCTGCCAACAAGCATGTGACTTTAGAAACAGACCCGTCCCCAGTTGAGCCTCCAGATGAACACCCAGCCCTGACTGATACATTGATACCAGGCTTCCACGAACCCACCTAAGCCATGAACTAACCCACAGAGACTGTGAGATGACAAGTGTGGGTTGTTTTAAGCCACTAAGTTTGTGACAATATTGTTTACACAGCAGTAGATAATTCACTGGGTCTGTGTGGAGGGAGAGCAGGGGAGGAGCAGAGTAGAAAAAGGGGAAATGCATTCAATATTCTTATAGTATTTTCTACATCCAAGTACTATAATTAAATTATTATCAACCACAAGATAAAAAATAATCGGAGTTAGAGGAAATCAAATTATTTCTTTTAGCTCTTCTTTGGCTGAAAGAGAAAAAGTGAAGAAACATATAAGTAGCTTACTTTAAGGCATGCCATATGTAAGTTGTAACACATCTTGTAAAACAAATGAATAAATGCAAGTGAAAAGAACTGGTCGAAAACCTTTAATTTACTTTCACCATGTATTTTGTTCTGCTTTTCAATAATGAGCACATTAGCATTTAAGAATTGTAGCACAATCATTGAAATGCAAGCAAAACCTTTTAATCATCTTCACTCACCACCCCTCTGGGAGGAATAAGAACTCACCAGAGGACAACCGACTCCATCTACTTCTCTTCAAAGACTCCAAAGAGAAGGACATTCAATTACACCACCTTCAGCACCTTCAGGCACTCTGAAACACCATAGTTAGCCGTCTCTGTTGGAAATGCAGGAATATATGTATTCTCCTATGATTTTTAAAAAGCTAGCTACCAGTGTTGTTGTACACTCTTTTCCAGTCCCCAGCAATCATTCCAACGGGGTGTCCGTGAGGTGCAGAAGCAGTTAGGGTTTGTGTAGTTCTCTGGCTTTCTGTGACTATAATCCCCAAGCCTGGCAAGGATCGTGATAGGTAGCCCTGGCAAATCATCACCGTCAGCAGTTCTGTTTTATGCTTTGGTAGATTTTCAGAAGAAATAATTGGGATACCATGGGCAATTAATGTGGCCTCTACTTTCTCTCATGTTTTTTGCAGTGTGTGGATTTTGGTTTTTGCTGTAATGTGGCCTTATAAATTAAGTCAGAAAGGAAGTCACTGGAAATCAGGATGAGAGAAATGATATAATATTTAGTGTTCGTGTTGCTGACCAAGACACTTGGCTTAAAATAAATGATTTTACGAGTAAAAATTTGTTATATAAAACCAGATAAAATAATTTAAAATTTTATAGTAAAATGAGGAAAATGATCTTGCAAACATTTTTAATTTGTCTAAACATACAAATATTTAGAATATGAAAGCCTTATATGGTATACATATAATACACAAAAATAATTCCACATACTGTATAGGCTTATGTCTGACCTGAAATTAATATGCTAGCCAAAATCAACATTTCAATATTTAACAAAAATTATTTGTCTTCAGAGAATTTAGATAAATGTTATGTGTATATGGAAGTCAGGCAAGGGAATGATGGGTGATAGCCAAGCAGTATATGTGGGCAATCTCTTTTTTTTAATTTCAAAAGTAATTGAAATTAATCTTTCTTTTTCTTTCAGTAAATTACCTTTTAACAAATTTAGCTATATACAAAGTGGGGCCATTCCTGGTAAAAATAAGTAAAGTAAGCAAATAACCAAATGTTAAGAGCATCAAGAAATTTGAAGACAATACTAAGAAATTTATTTTTTATTTTTTTTTTAAGCAGGCTCCAATGCAGGGCTTGAACTCATGACCCTGAGATCAAGATCTGAATGGAGATCAAGAGTCAGGCGCTTAACCAACTGAGCCACCCAGGGACCCAGAAATTTCTTTAGAATACTTTAAGAAAAAGAAATCTTTTAAGGATTATCCATCATTATTTGAACATTTTCTCTATATTAATAAGCATGTGTGTGCCAGAAAGATAAAGAGCAGGGATGAGAGAGAGAGATGTTAATTGATTGCATACATGAAATGAAAATAAGTTTCTTTTTTTTTTAAAGATTTTATTTATTTATTTGACAGAGAGAGAGAACAAGCAAGGGGAACAGCAGTGGGAGAGGAGGAAGCAGGCTCCCCACTGAGCAGGGAGCCAGATGCAGGGTTTGATCCTGGGACCCTGGGATCATGACCTGAGCCAAAGGCAGATGCTTAATGGACTGAGCCACCCAGGCCCCCTGAAAATAAGTTTCGAAGAAGCACCTATGAGGCAAGCATGTAAGGGTCTGACAGAAAACAGAGCAGTGATGGAAAAGTTAAAGGACTGACCATGTGGATGAGATTCAGAACTCCCAAATTTTTTATTTTTTTGGCTTTCTTCCCTCCTCTGCAGCCTGCTTCTATCACTGCCCAGCAAGCACTTGCAGCATGGTGTCCTCCGGAAGAAACAATAAGGTTAAGGCCTTCAGGAAGAAGGACATGACTCATAAACTTCATGACAGTCCTCCAAGAAAGTAATGAAATATTCATCTCCCTGCAGTGCCTGGCCTCTTTAATGGGAATGAAGAGCTGTGGGAAAAGGCTGTGACAAAGGATGCAAAATGGCAGAGACCATACAGATGGCCCTCCTAGTGCCTCTTTGCCAAACCTCCATTTGCTCACCTTTTCCAGAAGCCGGATATTATCCCACACCTTGCTGCACACCATACACTCAAATGCATCGATGTAGTTGTCCTGGTTGACATCTTGCACTCCCCATTTCCGTTCCCTGAGCGCTGCGAGGAGTCGCCGATTGGACACCTCACCCTTCAGCTTCCATTCTATGTAAGCCTCGTATAGTCTGTCATCATGATCCAGTTGTCTGATGTAACTTGCTAGTTCTCTAGGGTGAGCAAATTCTGATACGAGAATAGCACTTCTATTACTCGGGAGCCAGTCTGCAATGCTGGGGGACCCATAATACACAGGGACCACCCCCAGTTTCAGAGGTCTCCAGAACTTCTCAGTGATGTAGTCGTCACACACTGCGTTCTCGAAGGCAAGGATAAACTTATACTGTGCGATGATCCTATAAAAGCCTTCGGCATCCATAGAGGCTGGATTTTTCAGCTGCTGAGGGAGATCTTTGTTTCGTAAACACTCACCATAGGAATCGACCTCGATGTAAGTCATCAGCTCTCGAACATAGCTGTCCCTGTCTGACGGCGGGTCACAGTCTGACTGGACGTACACTAGTGGAGCAAGTCTTCTTCGAAGGTTGTTTTTGGACCTCAAAGGGACCAGGTATCGGAGTGACTTCAGGACTTCTACGCCCTCCAAGTACTGGGTGGTCAGGGGCAAGTGGGAATGGCGGCTGAATGTGGCAGTGTAGTTGAACAAGGTGATGACTGGCTTGTGGAAGAGCTTATAATTGTTTTTTGGAGACTCTTCGTGAAAAAGGGCCCAGTCGTGATGGGCTTTCCGAGGCAAAGGTAAGCTATCTATATTAAAGTCAGTGCCTAGAAGAAGAAAAGAAAACATTAGTATGTGCAAGAGAATTTTAGTGTCCAACTTGGAGTCTACCTGGTAAGATTAGAATACAGAGAAGTCTGAAGCTACAAAGAAGCATGTCACAGTGTTGGCAAAATACCTGGCAGTCAATCATGACTCTTTCACCCTAGAAACTGCTCAGGGAGAGGAGCACAAAGGAGAGGGACCCTCTTTCTGATTTTATGTTAAGAGAAATGGGAGTAGTGTCTAGCCTGGTTCTAAAGGGAGAATTTATTCCACTGCCTCTGGCAACTGGCTTTTCTTCCCAGAGGTGTTGTCTAAGAGAGGGCAGGAGAAATAAAGAGATATGGGGGCCTGGGTAGCTCAGTCGTTAAGCGTCTGCCTTCGGCTCAGCTCACGATCCCGGGGTCCTGGAATCAAGCCCCACATGGGGATCCCTGCTTGGCGGGAAGCCTGCTTCTCCCTCTCCCACTCCCCCTGCTTGTGTTCCTGCTCTCACTATCTTTCTCTGTTAAATAAATAAATAAAATCTTTAAAAAAAAACAAAAGAAAGAAAGCAATAGACAATTCTTATAAAAAAGAAAAGAGCAAGAGAAAGAAAGCCAAAAAGGGGAAAGCAACCAGCTTGGCAGCTTGGTGCACTGAAAAAAAAGTGAAATCATGCAAAAGTCGCCAGAATAAATATGCAGGATAGATTTTTTTTTTCATCCAATATGATCGATTTCAACAAAGTGCAGTGAATCAATCACAGTCAAAATGGTAGACAAGAGGCTTTTAAAGACAAAACGGCTGATAATAGCACTATGCTACAGACCACTGCAGGATGGACATGAATTAACCAGCACATCAAGAAATAAAGAAGGCATAACAGGATTATAAATATGAGTGATTCTAGCTTCCACAGGATTAATTGAGAAACCTTTGAAACATGATCATGTGCAGACAGAAGTGATGGATGTGGTGAACAGATGTTTCCTGACAGCGTGGATGGAGACTCAATCAGGAAGACGTCATTTCTATAACTGAGAAACGATTAAGACAATACTGCAATATGTAACACCAAATTCCTAAAGTGTTTCTGACACTGAAGATTTTGTGGCCCCTGATTTGAGTTTTTAAATGTGAGGAAATGGCCAAAAAAAAAAAAAATCCATCTGCCACCCTTCACTGGGGGAAAAAAAAAGGCCCAAATAAATGCTTCCAATGGAATAAAACATATTCTCTGGTAGAATTCATAACAATTAATTATTTCATGCTGATGCACACTCTCTCAAATAAATATATACTCTTTGGTGCCAACAGTGCATCAATGAGAAATCAATTAATCAAGAAAGGCTTTTAAACAAAGACTGAATAAAATTATGTTGAAGGACATATACTGAGCACAGAGAAGTTGCTGAACAAAGTACTACTGTCTTGATACCAGGCTTTTATTCTCAATGATCAGGAATGAAAGACTAACATATAAAAGTGGTTATGTATTCGTTTACTTAGCATTTGCTATATTTGCCCTTTAGCATCAAAAAGAATGCTCATCTACACACCTGACATGTAATGGCATATAGAGTTAAGTGGTCAGAAAGGTTAAAGGACAAATGTGAAGACTTGAAAGAGAAGCGAATTTGAGGAGAAAAGCAATTTATTGCATGAAGTGGTTGCTGGTCAACTGGCCAAGAATGGGAACGGGAACCCACCCACTTGAGTTAGAACAGAAAGTTTCCACTGAAGGCAGAACAAAAATCCAGGCCATTTGCCTGGGATAGGAAGAACTAGAGTCCAATCCACAGGAGTCAGACGCAGGGATCAAGATGTAAGATTAAGATTGGAGGGGTATGGGGACACCTGGATGGCTCAGTCAGTTAAGCTTGTGCCTTCAGCTCAGGTCATTATCCCAGGGTCCTGGGATCGAATCCCACAATGGGCTCCTTGCTCAGCGGGGAGCCTTTTTCTCCCTTTACCTGCCACTCCCCCTGCTTGTGCTCTCTCACTCTCTCGTGCACTCTCTCTGACAAATAAATAAATAAAATCTTTAAAAAAAAATTGGAAGGGTATGATTAAAACAAAAGTGGGTCTAGAATTGGGGGGGCAGGCACAGGTGTCTTGAGGGAGTGACTCAGACCCCAGTGGCTGTCTGCTGCTGCTATATGGCACATGGGTGATTCTTTGCCTCACCCTGGGTGTGCCACAGCAAAGACCCAAAATGCAGAGCAGGGAAGCAGAAAGACACAACGCCTGCCTCCTGTGCTTTGGAGAATGGAGAGGGCCTGGGTTTCATCTCTGCCCATCCACATCAGTAAAGCATAACAGGCACTAAAAATGGCTATGTGTAGACCTTTCTGTGGCCAGTTTCTAGGTCCGCTCAGATTGTATTGATAATATGAACAGGACTTGAAACTGGTACCAATTATGAGCCATGAGCCCTTCATTCATTATAACTAGGAGATGAGAGCTTACCAGCTCATTATACCTTCAGCCAAATTGCTACTGGAACCTCAATGTTGGAAGGAAGGGAAGAAGAGCGCGGGGTCCCTTGCATATGCAATCTATGGTAGTAAAAGGAGCCTGCAGAATCTAAGCAAGAAACGTTTATTTATATTCATGTTTTAAAAAAGAACACAGCTAACTGAACATGATAAAAAAATATAAAAAAATAATATATATAAATAAAATCCTTATTTAAAAAGGGGGGGAAGAACACAGCTTTTTTTTAAATGAGTGTGTGAGGTTCTAGTACATCCATTTGAATTCTGTTTAGTTTGTAGGAGTGGGGTCATCTTTAAAAGTGGGGGAATGCCTCTTTAACAGAGAGGCAAGTTATGCCATTTGCAACGACGTGGATGGAACTGGAGGGTGTTATGCTGAGCAAATAAGTCAATCAGAGAAAGACATGTATCATATGACCTCACTGATATGAGGAATTCTTAATCTCAGGAAACAAACAGGGTTGCTGGAGTGGGGGGCGTGGGAGGGATGGGGTGGCTGGGTGATAGACACTGGGGAGGGTATGTGCTATGGTGAGCGCTGTGAATTGTGCAAGACTGTTGAATCACAGATCTGTACCTCTGAAACAAATAATACATTATATGTTAGGAAAAAAAAAAAAAGAAGAAGAAGAAGATAGCAGGAAGGGAAGAATGAAGGGGGGGAAATCGGAGGGGGAGATGAACCGTGAGAGATGATGGACTCTGAGAACAAAGTGAGGGTTCTAGAGGGGAGGGGGGTGGGGGGGTGGGTTAGCCCGGTGATGGGTATTAAAGAGGGCACGTACTGGGCGCCTGGGTGGCTCAGTTGGTTAAGCAACTGCCTTCAGCTCGGGTCATGATCCCGGAGTCCTGGGATCGAGTCCCACATCGGGCTCCCGGCTCGGCGGGGAGCCTGCTTCTCCCTCTGACCCTCTCCCCTCTCGTGCTGTTTCTCTGTCTCTCTCTCTTTCTCTCAAATAAATAAATAAAATCTTTAAAAAAAAAAAAAAAGAGGGCACGTACTGAATGGAGCACTGGGTGTTATACACAAACAATGAATCATGGACCACTACATCAAAAACTAATGATGTAATGTATGGTGATTAACATAATAAAAAAAATAATAATTAAAAAAAACAAAAACAAGGGCACCTGGGTGGCTCAGTTGGTTGAGCGACTGCCTTCAGCTCAGGTCATGATCCTGGAGTCCCGGGATCGAGTCCCGCATCGGGCTCCCTGCTCGGCGGGGAGTCTGCTTCTCCCTCTGACCCTCCTCCTTCTCATGCTCTCTGTCTCTCATTCTCTCTCTCTCAAATAAATAAATAAAATCTTAAAAAACAAAAACAAAAACAAAAACAAAAACAAAAACAAAACAGAGAGGCAAGTTAAGAAGACCTAACTTTCCAGAAACATTTCCCATTATTTGTTACCTTAAAAAGTATTTCCTAGCTACTTCCCTACAATACATACACAACACACACAGACATACAGACACACCCAAAATCACATTAAAATAGGTTTTTTAAATCAGATTCTTCCAAACTAAAATTCTCTGGGAAAGATTTAAAAAATATAGGCGCCTGGGTGGCTCAGTCGGTTAAGCGTCTGCCTTCGGCTCAGGTCATGATCCCGGGGTCCTGGGATTGAGTCCCACATCGGGCTCCTTGCTCTGCGGGGAGCCTGCTTCTCCCTCTCCTCCCCACTTGTGCTCTCTCTCACTATCTCTATCTCTCTCTCTCAAATAAATAAATAAAATCTAAAAAGAAAAATTTAAATAAGTAAATAAATAAAAAAATATGGCATTTTGCCCAGTGAGCTCCTCCCCTAAACCTACAGCTTCAGATTGTTAACACTTGAGAATACTGAAATGAGAACCATAACAGACTTAAAATACAGTTGACCTTTGCATAACATAGACCTGAATGTCATGGGTCCACTTACATGTGGATTTTTTTAATAAATACAGTATACAGTACTGTAAATGTATTTTCTTTTGTTTTTCTTAATAACATTTTCTTTTTTCTAGCTAACCTTATTGTAAGAATATAGTATATAATACATATAATATACAAACAATGTGTCAACCAACGGTTTATATTATCAGCAAGGCTTCCAGTGAACAGTAGGCTATTAGTAGTTAAGTTTTGGGGGTCCAAAGTTAGACCCAGGTTTTTGACTGTGTCGGGGGGTTGGTGCCCCAAACCCCAGCATTGTTCAAGGTTCCACACTGTTCTTCACTGAGGAGATCATGGTCTAGAATATGAGTGACGATACTGAACAATGTCTATATGTGTGGCTCAGGGAGACAACTGAGTTATTTCACTCTCTCCAACTCCAGGGCACTGCCCACTGTAACAAGAGCTGGAACAGTGAAAGAAATAAAACTCAATTACACCATGGTAATCCATAAAAAATGTGACCAACTTGCAGGCAATTAGCTCACTAGTTGCCCACAGTCATCTTCACTCGCTCTTGCATTTAACAACTTTGGATTCAAACTTTCCTTTCTCTGGGTGATTTTATGTTTACTGAATACTGACAAATTT